CGTGCGTTGTGTGTGTGTGTGTGTGGTACGTGCGTGCGTTGTGTGTGCCATGCGTGCCGTGTGTGTGGTGTCGCGTATCGCGGTCAAAGTACTTTTCCGAGTGTCGAATGTCGTAGAACTCCACAAACTTCTGGCTGCGCGCATTACAATTCAGAATCATTATCGTTGTAGGGGCGCAGGGGGTGGGGGGGTGGGGTACAAAGGTTTGCCGCGGCACTCGCGCACTTCCTTGACGGAGCCCCATTCCTCGAACAGACGCTTCACCTCCCGGTTGGTCATGGGCGGTTTGTCCCTGAGGGGACCCGTCCCGCCCCGCAGGCGCGCAAAGACGGTGCTCTGTGTATTGCGGTGGTGGGTGGTGGGAGGTGGGTGGTGGGTGGGTGGGGTGAGCGCGAGGGATATCGCGCGCGTGAGCAGCAGCAGCACAGAGGAGAGATTGGGGTTGGGATGGGAGAAGGGGGATGGGAGAGGGTGCACGACGTTGTTCTCCTCGTTCTTGGCCTGGTCTTCGTCGTCGCGTGGTATCGAGTAGTGAATGTCCAGCTGCACGCCAGACGGGCAATTCGTAAGAGGCCATTCCATAACGACAATGTTGTGTTGATAAATGATAAATAAATAAATAAATAAAAGGACGTGGAGGCGCGCTGTGGCGGGCCCACAGACAGGCAGCGGCACAGTTGGCGGTGGTGGCGGGGGGGGGGGAGAATCACACACCGGTCGGCCCTCAAAGTCGTATCCCTGCAGATCCCTCTTGGCCTCCTGCGCGTCTCTGATGTCGTACTGCTCCGAACACACGACACGACACGACACGCAACGCCCGTGCGTTGGTCAACCACACCGCGGGTGCAACCCATTCAGAAACGTGATCTCTCACTCTCTCCGGGAAGTGGAGTGGGGGACGAATTCTCGCTCCTCATGCAACATGCCCCCCATTGGGGGGAGGGAGGATTGTGGGTGGGTGGGTGGGTGGGGTTACGTAGGTGATGAAGGCCATGCCGCGCTTGTCGATGAGGTTGAACACGCGCTTGATCTCGCCGTACTTCTTGAAGAGGTCCATGAGGGTGCGCTCGGACGTGTTGTAGGAGACATTGCGAACAAACAGAGTACGACTCTGCTGCTCGGGCGGCGCAGCACCACCACTTCCGGACGATGAGGCAGCCGCCACGCCATCCCTCTCCCGGCTGCCTCTCTCGCGGTGGCGGTCTCGCTCCCACTCTCGCTCCCTCGACCCTCCGTGACCTCCGCTCCCTCGCACGAATCCCCTTCCGCCTCCGCCTCCGCCTCCTCCTCCACCCACGCGGCCATGAGAACCCCCGGCCACTCACCATCTCGCGGGCAACAAACAACGAAAATTTATGAAACCCACATCCAACCCCCACCGGGGGGGAAGGTGCAGAGGACGCACAATTGAAGAACAACGATCAATTTGAGGGGAAGGGGGAAGGGGGATTTCAAGGACAAAATAAATAGGACCCAGCAAGAAGAATGGTGACGAGGGGAGACTACCAAAGCGAGAGGGTCCACCAGGTTCGTAGGAAGCTTCATAAGGTGTGGAAGTAGCTACGCCTGGCTGGGCGTAACTGAGCGGATTGCTATGCTCTGCTTCTCGCTGGTGCCCAGCGGCTCCATGTGGCACCGCATGTTGCTGGGGCGGACGCGCATAGGGATCGTAACGCGGTACTCGCTGCATGGTCGTCTTGATGATTGCTCAACTGCCGCAGCGGCTCTATGAAAAAATGATAAATAATATAAATAATATATTTGACCGCACACAGCGTTGAAGGCTGATCGCAGAGAAGAAGGTACGTACACCACCACCAAGAGTCCCCATGGGAGGCAAGAGCTCCAGACAAGCCCGTTCAGCCACCTTCTCGGACGAGGCTTTCGCTCAGAGCCGACTCACCAACGCCAAGAAGGAGACTCCCACCGATTTGAACCTTGGTCCGCCCCCCCCCCAAATCCTCTGAGGGATGCTTGCTAACCATCTAACCATCCCATTCCCATCTCCTCCAGGCAAGAAGAAGGATGTTGTGGTATAGCGCCTACCTAACCCCACGCGGATGGGCACAGATCAGCTGATCATCCGGACCCTTCAAATGTGTTCCTCATTGTGTCCTCGTGGTGGTGGTGGTGGTGGTGGTGTGTGTGTGTTACAGTTGTCCAAGGAGGTTATCGATTTCAACCTGGGCGAGGAGCCCTGTCCTCTCAACGAGATCGTGCGGGACCAGTTCACCATAACCAACGAGTCGGGGAAGAAGATCAAGTTCCGCTTCGACCCCATCCCCTCGGCGTCGTGCAAGCTCAGCTTCGAGCCCGCTTCGGGTACCATCGACGGAGGCAAGAAGAACGTCAAGAAAATTGGCGTGAAGATGGTCCTCCTCATGCCCGAGAGCCTCAACTTTCGAGTCAACCTGCGCATCGGAGGCACGGCTCCCTCGCCTCGCCCCTTCCCGCCTTCATTGCCGCAGCGCCAGCGCGACGCGCGAACCCCCCCCCTCCACTGACGACACACGGGTTGGATGCTGCTGGCTGCTAACTCGCTCCCTTCTCCTTCTCCTTCTCCTCCCCTCCTCTTCCCCGTTTTTCCTTTTTTCAGGCGAAGAGGAGACCCTCTTCCTTCTCGTGCGCACTCACACTGAACAGGGCGTCTACGGCGCCGATCCCATGGCCCTCGAGATTGCCGAGGACTGTGGTGCGTTACAATTGTTGGCTGCGTGCGTGCGTGCGTGCGTGCGGTTTGGCATGGTCTCTGATGGGCGGTGGCGCAGGGTTCGAGGTGCCAGTGGTCCTCAAGTCAATGCGAGAGGCCCTGGTGGATCAGGATGCCCTCTCCCAAGAGGGCATCTTCCGTTTGGCGGGCGATCAAAACGAAATGAAGCGAATCAAGGGCGACATGAATCGCACCAAGACCTTCGACGCCAAGGATGCCGACATGAACACGATCGCCAACTTACTCAAGGTAACGCGATGTCACCGCCGGTCTCGTGAGTGTTCGGTCTGCGCGCGCGGTCCCCGCTACCATCGATGGCGCGGCCATGCGTTGGGCGCAACAACCACTAACCGGTGCATCCTCGGAGCCCTGACTAAGCTCTTCGGGTTGTGTGTGTGTTGTGTGTTGTGTGTTGTGTCGCGCCACAACGACCTGGGTCAGGTGTGGTTCCGTGAGCTGCCGGTGCCGATTTTGAATGCGCTGCCCACGGAGGTGATCTTCCACAGCGGGGACCCCAACGTCTGCATCGACGCCTACGAGGGGCTGCAGGAGCCCCAGAAATCCCTTCTTGGCTGGCTCCTGCATTTGATGGCCGACGTCGCCGCACTCAAGGCGCACAACAAGATGAGCGAACAGAACCTTGGTAAGCCACTTCCACCCCCTTCCTCCTCTCTCTCCTCTTCCTCCTCCTCCTCCTCCTCGTGGGCGTGCCTCTCCCCCTTGTAGGCGCGACGAGTGTCATCGTGATCTCACGCACACGCACACGCACACACGCACACGCACACACGCACACGCACGCCTTCCTTCTTGTGTGGTATGTAGCGATCGTGGTTGCCCCGAATTTGTACGACCCGCCAGGATCCGACCCCATGGAAGGTCTTGTCATGTCGCAGAAGGCCGTGCAGTTCCTGCACAACCTCATCCTCAACGAGATCGAACTCAGACACGCCGAACAGCGAGGTGACGAGTAAACAACAACAAGAACAACAACGTCCGCCCCGTGCCGTCAGCATCCGGACGGAAACACGGCCACGGGTCAAGCGTCGCAGGGCCTCAGGAAGAGGAGGTGGAAGAGAGAGAGAGAGCGCGCACATACGAGAGAGAGAGAGAGAAGGTGTGCCAGTGGCAAGTGGGCGCGCGGGATCGGGCTGGGTGTGCGGGAGGCCGCACGCATTCTTGCTCTCTCGTGGTGACGTTGTACATCCTAACGATAAAAAAAACCCAACAAAAAAATACAAAAAACCAAACGCAAGAAAAGTACGGCCAGAAGAAGGATGGAGGCTGAGTTCGCAGGAGCTACAACGCCCGCAGGAGGGCACCGTAAGCGCAAGGCCCAGGGGGACCTCAGACGACCCCAACGCTCCAGCGGCAGCAGCAGCAGTGAGAGATGCAACGCGGCCACTAGCTCGGTTTACAAAGCCCGCACCACCGACTTCCGTGTACTCGCTGAAGCGTTCCCCTCCTTGCGTCCCTTGTACCTCCCCCTCTCCCTCTTTAAGCCCCACCCAAAACCTGCCTCGGTGGATTAGGGGCAGCACCAGGATGCTGACTCGCTCTCTTGTGTGTTGTCGCGTGGTGTTGCATCGGCATCCGCGCCCCTCTTCCCAAGCGTGTACACCAACAACTACGGATCAGCAAGCATTGACTGGAAGGACCCCTACGCCGCCAGGTACGCAGCACCCCCCCCCGTCCGCTGGCTGGCAGGCATGAAGTGCTGCTACTGCTGCTGCCGCTCATTCCAGGCCTTTGTTGTTGCGGGTTGCGGGCTGGCTGAAATGGGGGGGGGGGAAGGGAGGTGACGTACGCGCTGCTCAAGAACGACTTCGACCTGGAGCTGGACATCCCCATTGACCAGCTGTGCCCGCCGGTCCCCAATCGGGCCAACTACATCTACTGGCTGCGCGATCTGCTCCACCGCAACAGCCCACAGCTCTGCACGGGTCCCGACACCCGCGTGCGAGGCCTCGACATGTGCGCATCTCTCCTCCCCCACCACCAGCCACCACCAGCCACCATCAGCCACCACCAGCCGGCTGTGAGCTCACTGCTTGTTGTGCCCCATCGCCCCCGGCTCCGATTGATCGAGCATGGGGCTGGGCTAACCTTAGAGGCACGGGTGCGTCGTGCATCTACCCGCTTCTCGGGGCCAAGATCCACGGATGGAGCTTCGTCGCCACGGACATCGACGAGACGTCGCTTCGGCATGCCCGCCACAACGTCGCCCTCAACCGGCTGGAGGCCACCATCGAGCTCCGCCAATCGCGCCCCGACGACCTTCTTCTAGGTACTCACTGCGCTGCGCTGCTGCTACCACGTGGCTGCCCGGCTTTAAATTCGCCACCGCGCGCGCATCGTGTGTGATGTGTGGTGTGTCTGTGTCCCCCTCTTATCTCCTTTGGCTTGCTTGCTTGCCACTAATGCTGTGTATTGTTTATGGTCGTTTGCCATGTCGTGTGTGTGTCGTGTGTGTGTCGTGTGTGTTGGTGCATGTACGGTATCACCACAGGTGCGCTGAGGCCGGGAGAGGAGTTGGCGTTCAGCATGTGCAATCCGCCCTTCTTCGCGCACCTCGAGGAGGCCTGCCAGAATCCGCGCACCGTCTGCACAGGCACGCCGAATGAGCTGGTCACCGCCGGCGGCGAGGTACAGTTCGTGGAGCGCATGATCAACGAAAGTCTCGTCCTCCGTCACACCATCAGGTATGCCCCTCCCAGATACATATTTACGTGGTGCCTGTGGTGTGTGTCGTGTGTGTAGTGTGTGTGGTGTGTGTCGTGTGTGTGGTGTGTCGTGTGTCGTGTGTGTCGTGTGTGTCGTGTGTGTATTTAGGGACTTCTGCACCTATTCTTCTCAAGAATAGCCAATGGTCATGACGACGTGTGTCCGGGGCGGGGCGCGCGAAAGGCTGGCTCCTGATGCGTCCTTGTACTTACAATTAATTGACATTGCGGGGCGCAAGGTGGTACACCTCCATGCTCGGGAAGAAGAGCGACCTCAACGCCCTCTTGAAGACCCTTGCGGCCAAAGGGGTGCGTGCACCTCTCCTCCTCCACCTGGCTGGGGAGCACCCGCAGTCCTTTGAGCTCACCGCACAGTGGATTGTTGGGGGGGGGTTCGGCGCGAATGCACAGATTGTCAACGTACACACCACGACATTCTACCAGGGCAAGACCACCCGCTGGGGCCTGGCGTGGTCGCTCACGCAGGATGGCCTCGAGGACAGAGCGGTACCGCTTCCTCTTTCAACAAACAAAACAAGCACTTCTCTCTCTATCTCTCCGTGCGTGTCGTGCGTGTCGTGTGTTGTGTGGATAGATCGACAGATAGATGTATTCATAATCTCATCCCTTTTTTTAACCCCTTGACTTGTGCAGAAGGCAAAGGCCCTCGAAAAGTTGCGGGGTAAGGACGAGGTGTGCTTCGCCGTGTCGGCCAACGATCCGTCGGCCCTGCTGGCCCACGTGAACGAGCTCTTCCGCGATCTGGGCCTCGCGCTGGTCTTCTGCGACGATCCCTTCCGCCTCCGCGCGGAAGCCACCCAATACACCTGGCGGCGGCGGCGGCGCGAGGAGAAGAAGCTGACTGAGCAAGCCCAGCCTGCCAACACGGCCCCTCTCGCACACCGAGAAGGAGGAGGAGAAGAGCCAGAGCGCTACAAGGCGTCGGCACTCACTCGGGAGGAGGAGACCGCCGAGGCGCTGCGGCTCGCCGAACTACAGGTGTATCTGGGCCAGTACGAGCAAGTCACGAGGGCTCTCGAAGACGATCCCGGTAACGCGGAGCTGCTCGAGGCGAGGAGCCACCTCGAAGAGTTCGTCTCCCTCACCCACCAGCTCTGGCATGCCACCAGCCTTGAAACAACCACCGTGGCCTCCACTACGGACGTCCCGCTTCCTCGTCCTCCTCCTGTGCTGGCGGCACCCGACGGCGACAGAGCGACAGACTTCCAGACCACAACCAAGCCAGACCCCGCGTTCCAGTTTCAAGTGCAGGTAATGCAAACTCAAGGCCCCGTCTACATGCTGCAGTTCTCTTGGGTAAGTGGTGCAAGCAAAAGCAAGATGGCCTTTCATGAACTTTTTGACTACCTCAAGCATGCTATCACCACCAAGTTCCCTCGCGCCTGAGGCAATAGTAATCAATTTAAAACTATTTACCCAATGGATTTTGTCTGGTGCGGGGTCAACTGACTGTCGTACCGCCAAGAGGGCGGAGTTTAGACTTGGAATTTTTTGCGTCGCAGTCACCACGCAAGTCTGACAGACAAGATGGCTCGTTTTCTCGCTTGCTCCGTAAGCTCTTGACCTCGCGTTTTGTTCAAACTGCGCCGCAGCGCGTGGGTTTCACGATGTGATAGGATTCAGCCCTGCAGAATGCCTCATTGGGCCGCTAGGACCTCACCATTTTTACCATGAAATCGACATGTAGCAGTTTTTTTCGACTTCACACAATCGAGAGCGCTGTTTTTCTCGCTTGCCTTGATAGCTGGCAGCCTGGTAATCATTTTTCAGACCAATTAGACCATGGGCAACAAGATAGCGCGCGAATCAGGGCGCTGGTGAGGGAAGAGTCGTTCCCTTGGACGCGCAAATGGATCGAGAATCTCCGCCGAGCACGGGCACAGTTGAGCCGTCGCCGAGTGTTACTCTGCCAAGGGAACGAAGTCAAGAAGATCGCGACGGTCGTAGGCGAAGTGGCTGGACGCGCCGGTGTCGGCGATCCAGTCTAGATTTGAACCAGACCTGGAAACAGTAGCACACGTCTCGCTGACCGTGAGCTCAACGCACTCCTCCTCTTCTTCGCCACGCTGGACCTCCGAGAGCTCGCTCGGCATCCTTGGCACTCTTCTAGGCGGGATGCAACGACAACGCGTCTAAATCGTGGAACTACTTCAACTCCAAAAACTTGTACCACGAATTGCTCACGAGCCCACATGGAAGCCAATGATAGGTTCAGGAAAGCTCACTTGCTTTGAAAGCTCCACGGACGGCAAATGTGGCTGTCGCTCATGGGAGAGCAGAGTGAGGACTGTCGGAGGACATGAGCCCCAAAACGCGTAACACGCGTAGAACGCGTAGCATACGTTAAACGTGTTGACCACGCGTGGGTCGCGCGTAAGTCGCGCGTAAGCTACTCGTAAGCTACGCATCGACAGCGCGTAAGTTACGCGTCGACCGCACGTGGGCTACGCATGGACGACAAGTGAAAATGCAGTTTTACAATTTATTATCATTTAGACAATGATGGGTGTGGGGAGGCTGCGGTACTACTTCGTGGAACTAATTTTCTACTAGGCCACTCGTGTAAACAGCAACAGCTTGTTAGGAGATGAGTAACAAGCTGTTGCTGCTGGGCGACTGTCAGGTCAGAACAATTCAAGTTTAAGATTCGGATTAGCTTGGGCTGATTCTTCAGGAGATGACTCAGTTTCCCGCGGTTGTCCGCGAAACTGAGTCATCTCCTGAAGAATTTGTTTCATCGCGGACAACCGCGGAGATCACGACGACTGCGATGGGGGCGGAGTAAACTAGTTCTACTCGTTTTCGTTGCACCGCTGAAGTCGAGGACGGCGACTCATCTCCTGGTGTTCGAACAGTGTCGTGATGACGGAGGAGTCCGCGCACGCGTGTACCAGAGGGCGTAATCTTCCGTCAGGTAAGGTAGCGCCCTCAATCGTGCGCTATCTTGTAGCCCATGGTCCAATTGGTCTGGAAAATGATTGGCAGGTGGCCAGCTATCAAGGAAAGCGAGAAAAATGGTGCGCAATGATTTCTAGCGTGATTTTCGAGCAACAAGTTATGAGCTAACAGCGGTCTGTAGCGCCCTGATTCGTGCGCTATCTTATTGCCCATGGTCTAATTGGTCTGAAAAATGATGACCAGGCTGCCAGCTATCAAGGCAAGCGAGAAAAACAGCGCTCTCGATTGTGTGAAGTCGAAAAAAACTGCTACATGTCGATTTCATGGTAAAAATGGTGAGGTCCTAGCGGGCTGAATCCTATCACATCGTGAAGCCCACGCGATGCGGCGCAGTTTGAACAAAACGCGAGGTCAAGAGATTACGGAGCAAGCGAGAAAACGAGCCATCTTGTCTGTCAGACTTGCTTGGTGACTGCGACGCAAAAAATTCCAAGTCTAAACTCCGCCCCCTTGGCGAGTACGGCAGTGGGTTGACCCCGCACCAGACAAACCAACTACCGCCCAAAAATTCTAAGTCAAAACTCCGCTACCTTCTTGGCGTTTTTGTGTTTTCCTTTTTTATTTATTTTTTCTCTTTTCCGAAGTTACAAAGAAGAAAGCGAAAGTACAAGGCTTTAGTGCCAAAAATGAGTGGCACATTCTGTGGAGAAACATGGCGTCGTCATCGCCCACCTTTGGGGGGGGGGAAACTGGTAACACACTCAGAGGAAGTAGTCTGGTGTCCTCCGCGTGACGTGGGGCTCTCCCCGCCTGGGCGCTGGGTCGAACTGGAGGCTGTTGTTGGGGAGGAGTCTGGGTCAGCGCGTGGCCAGGGCGGGCAAATTGGGAGGCTACGTACAACATGTGCTTCATGTGTTCGTCAAGCTCCATGATAGCGGCTTGGTTGCCACAGCGGTAGCAGTAGTTGGGAGCGGAGAAGATGGTCACGACGTTCTGCTCGTGGCACCAGTTGTAGCCTTCCATGACGAGTTGATGAGCGCGGGCGACGAGGTTGAGGCCGTTGTTGTGATTGAACTGCTCGGAAATGTCCTGCCCGAAAGTGTAGCCGGCTCCTCGCGGGGAGACACCCCAGCCGGTCCTGTCGTCGGGGTCGGACCAGAGGAGGTCGCACATGGGGCCTTCGTGGGGCACCTCTTGGATTCGGTCGAGCTGACGGACGTGGTCGAGAGTATCGATGGAGGGCGAAAGGCCGCCGTGGAGGCAGAAAATTTGTTGCTCAATGAGAGCGGTGAGCGGGAGGTAGTCGAAGAGGTCCGTGAAGAACTTCCACACGTTGGCGCTCCCGTACTTGCGAAGGCACTCGTCATAGAACCCATACCTGCCCAACCACCACCACCACCACCATTAGCTATTGCGGCCCAGCGAAACGGGAGGGGAGGGGTGCTGCAGCAGCCACAGTCGCTGCCGAGGCGCTTGGTGGGGGGGGGGCAGGAGGACATACACTTGGGTGATTTGTCGACTTTCATGGTTACCGCGGAGGATGGTGATGCGGTGGGGGTACCTCACCTGGACGGAGCCGTGTCGGCATGACGCGTTATTGCTCGAGGCAAATACCGGGAGAACGTGGGGCGCAGATGGAAAGTACCTTGAGAGCTACAAGAAGGGAGACGGTTTCAACTGAGTAGTAACCACGGTCGACGTAGTCGCCCATGAAGAGGTAGTTGGTGGAGGGAACTTCACCTCCAATCTTGAACAGCTCCATCAAATCATGGAATTGGCCGTGAACGTCACCGCACACGGTCACGGGGCAGCGCACAGGCTGCACATTCGACTCATCTTGCAAAATTTCTCGCGCCTGGTGTCCCCAATGGGAAAGAGGTTAGAAGCTTCTTCCGAATAAAGAAGGAGCAGCAATTGGACCTACCTTGTCGCACAGCCCTTTGACATTGGCTTCGGAGAGTGGCTTACATTGCCTGAGCGTTTCGATCCATTTGTCTACATCGGCGTATTCTCCCATGGCTAAAGAGGGTGGAAAGGGAGAAGGAGAACAACAACAACGGACTTGCTTGTCTCTACTCTCGGGCTGGGCAACAACAAGGTCCGTTCAAGAGCGGCCCCTTTTTTCCTTCTCCGGAGTTGCCCTGGTTGCCTAGCAAATGAATAAAACATTTTCTATTTTATTGCGTACCCAAGTGTGGTGTAGCGCGAAAAATGGTGATTTTTTAAAAAAACAACAAAAACAGAAAGGTGGGCGCTGGCTCTTCTCGGGACTGGAGGAGAGGGGAGACACACACGACAACCGCTGGAAGGGAGGGAGCATTGCTTACCTGCACACGCCAAGGGGCGGACAAGTTCACAAGGCCCCTCCTCCCGCGCAGCGCCCGAGTGAGGCCTCACCACCGAATGGGAGTCGCACCCCGCCCGTACACAACCGCAAGAGCCCGCGAGCCACAGCGCGTGTGACCCACAGAGACCCGTACGGCCGGCCTAACGGGGGACCACACCATCAGCGCAACCACCCCTCCACACTCCCGCCCACCACAGCGCGACACCACTGCCCCGACGTCCTCCTCCTTCTCCCCACAACCAGCGCACGCCACATCTCCTTCTCCGCGCATGCCTCTCTCTTCTCTTCTCTCTCCGTCGCCGCACGCGTGCGGGCATCCCGCAAAAAAAAAAAAATCCTCCCTGGGGGTTGATCCTCGTCGGCGGTCGGCGGTCGGCGGGCGCGGCCTAGTAGCGTCGAGCGGCGGGGGCACCGGGGGCGGCGGCGTAGGCGTAGGGGTTGACGACGCCAACGCCAGGGTAGGCTCCGTAGCCCGAGGCGGGAGCGGCGTAAGCGGGGTACATACCGTACCCGGGTACGGCAGCTTGCGGCAGGGAGGAAGAGGCCGCCGAGGCCGAGGGAGCTGCGCCGGAAGTCGACGGGCGAGACGAAGACGACGATGGTCCGTAGTGGGAAGCACTTCCGCCCGATGAGTAGGACGAAGAGCCAGAGTACGACGACCCGGAAGAGGAGTACGACGAGGGCATGTAGGAGGAGCCACCGCCGCCGCCGTAGCCTCGGCCGCGGAAGGAAGACTTGGGGCCGCCGGAGGCCTTGGACATGACAGCGAACTGGTGGAGTTGCGGAGGCACCTCCTGGCCGGCCTCGGAGAGGACCTTGATGAGGCGCTTGGCCAGCTTGAAGTCGCCCGAGGTGAAGAAGCTGTAGGCGGTGCCCGTGGCGCCGGCGCGGCCCGTGCGGCCGATGCGGTGGACGTAGTCCTCAGCGGTCGAGGCAAAGTCGTAGTTGATGACGTAGCGCACGTCCTTGACGTCGAGACCTCGCGCGGCCACGTCGGTGGCCACCATGATGGGCGATCGTCCGCTCCGGAACTCGGCAAGGGTCGCGTCGCGCTCCTGCTGGGTCTTGTCGCCGTGGATGGCCAGGGCAGGCCAGCCCTCGCCGCGGAGAGCTCGCTGAAGCTGGTCGGCTCCCTTCTTGGTCTGCGTGAAGATGAGGATCCTGCCGCCATCCATGATGGTCTCGAGCAGCTTCATGAGCTTGGGCCGCTTCTCGTACTCCTGCACGATGTCGACGATCTGCGTGACGCGGTGGTTGGCAGCGAGTTCCATGGAGCCGATGTTGATCTGGATCATGTCCTGCGAGAGGAACTCGGACGCCAAGGCCTTGACCTCCTTCGGCCAGGTGGCGCTCCACATGAGAGTCTGGCGGTCGGGCCGGATCTGCTCCATGATCTTCCGGATCTGCGGCTCGAAGCCCATGTCCAACATGCGGTCAGCCTCGTCGAGCACCAGGTAGGTGACGCGGCGCAGATTGGTCTTGCCTGTCTCGAGCATGTCGATGAGCCGACCGGGCGTCGCGATGACGATCTCCACGCCGCGAGAGAGGTCTCGGATCTGAGGACCCTTGGGCACGCCGCCGTAGACGCAGGTGTTCTTGATCTTGGAGGTGAGGCCGAACGTGTTGGCCACCTCCTGGATCTGGACGGCCAGCTCGCGGGTAGGGGCCAGAATGAGCACGATGGGGCCGTCGCCCGGTTGGAGGAAGGGCTGCGCGTTGATGTGAACGATGGCCGGCAGCGTGAAGGCGAGCGTCTTGCCGGAGCCGGTCTCGGCCAAGCCCACCATGTCCCTCCCGCTCAGCGCGCAGGGCCATCCCTGCGCTTGGATCGCCGTCGGCCGCTCGAACTTGAGGGAACGCACCGTCTGCATGATGTAGTCGGGGAACTGGGCCTCCTCGAACGTGCGGATGGGCTTGGGCACGTTGCGCCCCTGCAGGACCGTGATGTGCTGCTGCTTGCGGTACTCCTCCACCTCGGCCTCGGTCATGCTGGCCACGGTGGGAGCCTCCACGTAAAAGTTCTTCTCGAACTTGGTCAGCTGCGTGTGGAGTGACGCCCAGTTGGGCCGCTGCAAGTTCATCCCTAGCGCTCCCATCCGATCGCCTCCCATGCCGCTACCGCCGCGACTTCCGTAGCCGCCGCCGCCGCCGCCGCCGTAACTACCGTAGGAGGAACTTCCGCCTCCATAGCCTCCCCCGGCTCCTGATCCGTAGCGGTCGCCGTAGCCGCCGCCGCTGCTGTACGAGCTGCTGCTGCCGCTATACGAACTGCTCCGATAGCTGTCGCGAGGTGGCGACCTCGAACGAGCGCGGTATCGGTCATCTCGGGGCGATCGTGAACGAGACCGGTAGCGATCTCTGGACGACCTGCTGCTTCGATCCCTAGAACGACTCCTGCTTCTGTCTTTCGATCTCGAGCTGCTCGAGGAGGACCCGTAGCCCTTCCTGTCGCTGCTGCGAGAGTAATCGTAGTCAGAGTGGCGATCGGTGTCTCTGCTGCTACTCATGGTGTCGGATTGGATGGATGGAACAATGCTCCTCGGTGGCCTTGCGCCTGCAAAAAAGAAATGCCTAAACTCCGCGCAGAAGAAGCCCAGAAAAATTGGACTGGACGTGCCCGATTCCTGCAGAGGCATGAAAAAAAAGAAGAAAAAAGAGGCTGGAAAAAAAAAACAAAATCCAGATTTGTGTGCCGGAGCAATCAAAATGGAGAAGGACAAGGGCAAGCAAACGGAACGCGAAGGCAGCACCGCTGCTGACGTCGAAGCAGAGGACCAGGAGGAACCTCCGGTGGCCGACGGTGAGGGGACTCGCCGCCGTAAGCGGAGGAAGGGGAGCGATGAGGATGACGATGGACAGGCACTTGGCCCTCGCAAGTGCTGGCGAGCAACTACAGGCGAGGAAAAGAAAACCAAGTATTCCGCCCGCGAGGACGAGGCCCTCTTGGCCTCCGTGCAGGCCTTCTGCTCCGTATGTCACAACCCCCAAGCGCCACACCAGATATTGTTTTTTTTTTTATTTGTGGCATTTTGTGTTATATTTATTTATAATCGATATATTACTCTGTCGATGCTGTGGCCCTTGCCCGCTTGCAGGCGGCAGGGTTGGGCTCAACGGAGGAGGCGGTGTACCGGTTCATCGAAAACAAAGAGTGGAAGAACCACCGTGGCTGCTGGATCGAAATAGGTAAAACTGTTCCTTCGCCGGCGCGTGGGGCGGGGGGAGCGCGTGGGCCGGCATCATTCGCTTACGTTGTGTGCACGCGACTATTGGCTGTTGGTTGGTTGTGCCATGTGGCCCGCAGCACGGGCGCTTCCGGACCGGTCGCTGGCGTCTGTCTTCGAGCGAGCCAAACGGACCCTCAACAAGAAGGACAAGAAGGGTCCGTGGGACGAGGCGGAAGAGCAACTGCTCCTCGAGTACGCCCCCCCCCGCGTGTCGTGCTGCGTGCCTGAAAACGACCCCCCCCACCGATCGATCGAGGTGCGGGGGAGGTTGAAAGGCGATGGAGGCTCACCGCAGCTGCTTCCTCTTTCTCTCTTCCCATGCATGTGGTTGCGACATGGCATCACGCACGCACGCACGCACGCACGCACAGGTTGTATCGGAAGCACGGCAACAACTTCCAACTCATCGGGGCCGAGCTGGGCAGGTGGCCGACCAGCGTGAGGGACAAGGTGCGCGTGCTCGAGAGCACCAAGTGGCGACTTCCCGGCGCCAGCAGAACCCACGCCCCCTGGACTCAAGCCGAAGACATCAAGCTCCTCAAGCTGGTACCCCGCCCTCTCTCTTTCTTCTTCCCTTCCCGCCATCCACCACAACCCGACCACAACCCGACCCAACCCAACGTGAAGGTGAAGAAGGCGACGGACAACTTTGAGACGAACGTCCCCTCTGGTGGCAGCTTCTGGGTGGAGATCGCCAAGCGCATGAAGGACCGCAACTATTCCCAATGCCGCAAGCGCTGGTCGCGCGCTCTCGACAAGGACGTGGAGAAGGTCGGTCAGTGGACTGCCGGCGAGAACTGGCTCCTCCTCCAGAAGTGCGCAACTCACCCCCCCCCCCTAAAGGGTGTTGTGTGTTTCAATGAAGGCCGGGATTCCTCCACCCGGTCCGGAGGTCCAATCCACTAACGAACCCGCGCGCCCCCGCCCCGCCCCGCCCCGCCCCGCAGTTTGGTGGAAGGCGAGTACGAGCGCAAGGAGGACATCCTTTGGTCGGACGCCTGTCGCGGTCTTCCCTTGTACGCGCCCGCCCCACCGCACGCGCAGGTCGCGTAGCGACGGAGACACATTGACGATGCCGCTGCTGCTGCTGCTGCTGCTGCTGCTGCTGGTCGTGTCGACGTGTGCCCTTCCCTATTCTCACTCCCTGTTCCGATTTTCCAATGCAGCCCACCGGACGTGGTCCATCCTCACTTCCGAGACCTGCTCCTTAAGCACGAAATCGATGGCCACGGTCCCCTCGACGAGGTTCTCGAGGCGCTGGCCGGTATGCACCACCCACCCACCCGCCGCCATCTCTTTCTTTCTTCCTCCTCCCCCCCTGGCCTTCTCCGATCTGAGCCGTTCATGGTCGCCCGGGCAGTTCCTCTCAAGGCGCAATACGAGGAGTGGGTGGAGGCGGGCAAGCCCGAGGCCAAGGCCACCAAGCTCTCCACGTGGCACCGGGAGGTGCAAAAGTTGTACGGCAAAGACAACCGCCCACTCATGGAAGGCGACTCAACGGAAGACGAGGCAGAACAACAACAACAACATCAGGAGCCACAACAAGAACAAGAGGAGACAGAGACGCATGGGAGCTCCACTGTGGCAAGTGACGAAGCCACCACCAAGAAGTCGATGACGAGGAAGAAGATGGCGAAGAAGTCAAGCGCCGGCGAGTCCCCGCCGACAACAGAACAGGTCAGTGGCGAGGAAGAGGCGAAAAAGGCGAAGAAAAAGAAGAAGAAGAAGAAGCAGCAAAAGACGAAGGAGAAGAGCGGGGTCCCTCCAACGACGGAACAGGGCGGCGTCCACGAGGAACCAACCCCGAAGAAGAAGAAGAAGAAGAAGCAGCCAAAGACGGGCCAAGCAGCTGCGGAGCTGCCGCCAGCGAAGGGAAAGCGCAAGAGGAGCGGCGGCAGGGATGCGGACGCCTCGCAGCAGCCCAACACCAAAAAGAGGAAAGCGGACGGCGGTGCTTTGAAGAAATAGGGCACAACAACAACAATGATCAAATAATTAAATAATTAAATAACAAACAACGACCTTTGGCGCCAGTCCTCCTCGCCCCTGCCCTTTTCTTTGGGTCCGCCGGCGCCGCCTAGAAGAGACCAGCGCTCTTCTTGAGCTGCTCGCGCTTCCACTTGGGCTGCTGGTAGAACTTGGCGCGGTTCATCTTGAACACCTTCTCGAACTCCGGGTTGGACAGGTGCGACTGCGAGCGATGGAACAGCGGGGGGGGGAGGAGACGCGACGATCATTAGTTGCTCGACGCGCGCACCACGCGCACCCCCCCCCCAGCGGTGGGGCAGGAGGAGTAGGAGTGGAAGTTGTCCGCGCGTACCTCGAGTTCGGCGTGGTTGGTGCCCGGCGGCTTGTCCTTCAGCGCGTCGAGCGGCAGGATGGGTTCGCGGGGCTGGATGGCGCCTTCCTCGGCCCTCCTCCTCTCCTCCTCCTTGCGGCGTCTGTTGCTCACACGTGAGATGGGTGAACAGGCGCGGCGGTGTCGTGTGTCGTGTGTGTGTCCCTTACCGGTCTTCTTCGAGGAGCTTCTTCTCGCGCTCCTTGTCGGCGAGGGCGCGCTTGAGCTTCTCGAGTTCCTCGAGCTCGCGGCGCTCCTCGATCTCCTCCTGGCGGCGGATGCGGGCCTCCTCCTTCTCGAGCTCCTCGAGGGCGCGCATCTCCTGCTCGATGAGGAAGCGCTCGTGCTTCTCCTGCTCCTCGCGCTCGCGCATCTCTTCGATCTCGCGGCGGCGGCGCTCGGCCTTCTCGCGCTTCTCCTCCTCGAGGCGGCGGAGCTCCTCCTGCTCGCGGCGGAAGGCGGCCTCCTTCTCGCGCTCCTCGAGCTCGCGCTTCTCCTCGATCTCGCGGCGGCGGCGTTCGGCGCGCTCGCGGGCCTCGTCGTCGAGGCGGCGCTTCTCCTCCTGCTCGCGGCGGAACTGCTCCTCGCGTTCGCGCTCCTCGCGTTCGCGCTTCTCCTCGAGCTCGCGGCGGCGGCGCTCGGCGCGTTCGCGCTTCTCCTCCTCCCAGCGGCGCTTCTCCTCCTGCTCGAGGCGGAACTTGTCCTCCTTCTCCTTCTCCTCGAGCTCGCGGCGCAGTTCGAGCTCGCGGCGGCGGCTCTCGGCCTTGACGCGGGCCAGCTCCTGCTGCCGCTTGAGCTCCTCCTGCTCGAGGCGGAACTTCTCCTCCTTCTCCTTCTCCTCGCGCTCGCGAATCATCTCCAGCTCGAGCAGCCGCCGCCGCCGCTTCTCCTCCTCCTTCTCCGTCGACCGGCGCGCGTGCTCCTGCTCCTGCCGGTACCGCTCCTCCTTCTCGGCCTCCTCGCGCTCGCGCGCCTCCTTGATGGCCTCGATGCGCCGCCGGTTACGCTCCCGCCGCTCCTCCTCCTCGCGCTTGGTGGCCTCGTGCTCGCGCTGCCACTCCTCCTGCCGCTCGGCCTCCTCGCGCTCCCGCCGCTCCTCGAGCTCCCGGCGGCGGCGCTCGCGCACGGCGCGCTGCTCCTCCTCGCGCTTGCGCTGCTCCTCGAGCTCCCGGCGGAAGGCCTCCTCCTTCTCGCGCTCCTCGCGCTCGCGCTTGGCCTCGAGCTCGGCCGCGCGGCGCCGGCGCTTCTCGGCCTGCTCCTCCTCCCACTGCTTGCGCTCCTCCTGCTCCTGCCGGTACCGCTCCTCCTTCTCGGCCTCCTCGCGCTCGCGCGCCTCCTTGATGGCCTCGATGCGCCGCCGGTTGCGCTCCCGCCGGTCCTCCTCCTCGAGCTGCGCCAGGGCCTGCTCGTCCTCGAAGATGCGCTGCCGCTCCTCCTCCTCCTTCTCGCGCAGCTCCTGCAGCCGACGCAGCCGCTCCTCGCGACGCACCCGCTTCTCGGCCTCCTCGCGCCGCCGCTCCTCCTGCTCCTGCGCAAACTGCTCCTCCTTGAGCCTCTCCTCGGCCTCCCGCTTGGCCTGCAGCTCCTCCGCGCGCCGCCGCCGCCGCTCCCCCTTCTCCTGCTCGGCCCGCCGCTGCTCCTCCTGCTCCTGCCGGTGCCGCTCCTCCTTCTCGGCCTCCTCGCGCTCGCGCGCCTCCTTGATGGCCTCGATGCGCCGCCGGTTACGCTCCCGCCGCTCCTCCTCCTCGCGACGCGTCGCCGCCATCTCCTCCTCGTACTTGCGCTGCCGCTCCTCCTCCTCCCGCGCACGCGCTTCCTCGAGCTCCGCGCGCCGCTTCTCCAGCCACGCAAGCTTCTCCTCCTCGAGACGCCGCTGCTCCTCCTGCTCCCGCTGGAACTGCTCCTCCTTCTCGGCCTCCTCCCGCAACCGCTTCTCCTCGATCTCCCGCTGCCGGCGCGCACGCCTCTCCTCCTTCTCCTCCTCCTGCACCGAGACAACCCCCCCACCCACCCACCCCCACCACAGCCACCGTACCCGGCGAGGACACACCCGACACCACACGACACACATCACCACCAGGTGGTGAGACGGCGCTGCCGGGAACAACGCCACACGATTACACACACACACACACACACACACACACACACACACACACACACACACACACACACACACACACACAGAGAGAGAGAAGAGAAGAGAAGAGAAGAGAAGAGAGAGAGAGAGAAGAGAAGAGAAGAGAAGAGAAGAGAAGAGAAGAGAGGCACGGCACGGCACGGCACGGCACGGCACGGAAAGGACCACGACGTTGGCGTCAAGGGAGGGAGGTGGGGGTGGGTGCCTCGCGCTGGCGCATCTCTTGCTCGAGGCGCCACTGCTCCTCCTTGAGGCGCTCCTTCTCGGCGCGGATGGCCTCGAGGTTCTCCTGCTTGCGGCGGCGCCTCTCCTCCTCCTCGCGCGCCTTGTCCTCTCGGTCCTGCCGAGACAGGAGCTCCATGAGCCGCTCCTTCTCCGCACGCAGCGCCTCGAGGTCCGGGTTGCTACGCTGCTGCTGCAGTTGGTAGGGGTGGTTGGTAGGGTGGTTGGTAGGGTGGTTGGTTGGGTGTGAGTCCACAGCACGTGGCACAGTGGCAGTGGCGGCGAGGGGCGGAGGTACGCGTCCGGGGGTGGTGGGGGTGGCGCCCGACCTCGCGGGGGCCGCGTCGGAACGAGGAGAAGAGACGGGCGAGTGGCTGGCTGCTGCCTCCTTATTGGCCACCACCGCCACTGATGCGGGCTGCTGCGGCTGCTCAGGCTCAGGGGCGGCGGCAGCGGCGGCGGCGGCGGTGCTGCCGTTGGCGTTGGCGTTGGCGGCGTGGCGGGGCTCGGGAGAAGGGGGAGGGGACGGCGGTGAGGTCGTCGGTGGAGAGGGCATTCTTGAGGCGGTCGGCCTGCTCCTTGCGGGCGGCCAGCTCGGCCTTGCGGCGCAGGAGCTCCTCCTTCTTGCGCTCGAGCTCCGACTTCTTGTCGTCGAGCGAGGCCGGCGCCGCCTCGCCCCCGTTCGCTCCCGCCGTTCCTCCGGAGGCGGCCTCCCCGCGAAGCTTGGCGAGTTCGGCCTTGCGCCGCTCGATCTCCTCCCGCCGTTGCCTCAGCCTGTCGGCTTCTTCTGAAGACATCGTGTCCTCCTGCTGCTGCTGCTGCTGCTGCTCCTGCTGCTGCTACAACTACTCTGCCTGGCTGCTCTGCCTGGCTGTTGCGTGGTGAGTGAGTCGTGTCCCTCGTCGTAGTCGTAGTCGGGTAGTACGACCCACCAGCCACCACCACCACGAACTGCTGCGGCTGCGGCGCTGCGCGGTGCTGTGGGTTCACCGACCCGTCCCCGGGCAGTCGCCCCGCCCCCCGCAATTTGGGGGGTTGGTACAATACACCAAAAACGACCACCACCACCACCCCCTACGTAGTACTACTAGTTGGGGGGGGGGAAATCGCGATAAGAAATATGTGTGGCCAGACCATCAACGCACCAATTGGCAAAAAAAACCCCTTGGCAGCGGCCAGATCACCCAACAAGGTGTGGCGGAAAGGATGGCAATTGCAATGGCCTTTGTCGCCATTTGGCCGCCGCCCACCATAATCGTGCACACATGCCACCCCAACGAGGAGACAGACAGACAGACACACAGAGAGAAACACACGCACAGGAGAGAACGAGAGGCGCAAGTACCGTCACTGAATGGAAGTGGGGGTCTACGACAACCAGTAAGGGGGGGGCACTAGTGTCCGCTGCTGCTGCTGGTTGTGGTGGTCGGGACGCGTTGGAAAATAAAAGCAGCCCGGGCGGCTCGTGCTCGTGCGGCAGTGCGGCGGGAGCTTGAGCGTTGCGTTGTCCTGCTCCTCGTTTCTGAAGCGATAATAGTGTCGACATCATTTAGCAAAAAAAAAAAAAAGAGGCGGTGGCCGCGATGTTGCAATGTGGTTCCTAATTAATAGGCCAAGTTGGGAAAGGGAGGGGACCGACCGCCTGTGTGGTGTGTTGGGGGTGGTGGTTGTTGTTGTTGCGCCCGAGGGGAGGAGGAGGAAGTGGAGGTGTGGTATGACGGTGCACCGCTGTGTATGTACAAAAATGGGGCTTTCTCTATTTCTAGTCCTGGTGGGGGTGCAGTGTCCGGCGGCGGCGGCGCTCCTCTTGCACCAGAACCACGTACTGGCGGGCAACGACGGCCTTAGCAAGCACGCACGCAAAGCGGACGAATTGGTGAGGCGCATGCCCGGTCGGCAAGGAACAAAATGGGGAGAGTGCACTGGCGGAGGCCCCCAGGAAGAAGAGGAGGAGGAGGAGGGGCGCGTACAAAAACCAAGAGGACGGAGAGACCGACGAGGGCGAACGTTTCCACGTCGACGTTAAAACCGAAGAGGAACGACGCATCGCCACGAAGGAGATAGTCCACAGCGAGGTGCGCGCCAATCGAAGCCAGCGCCAGCGCCCACGCCACGTAGGCGTCCGGGTTGATCTCGTACGCCAAGTCATAGAAGCTGCAACATCCGCGCAAGACATCAGCCGCCGCGGGCACTCGCGAAGAGAGGAAGACTGCCCGGGAGGAGGAGAAGAAGGAGGGGGGGGGTATGGGGGGGTATGATGGTACCGCTTTGCCAAATGGAGGTCCTGGGGCAGGCCGATGCCGTGCTGGTGCATGTAGCCCAGGTTGAAGGTGGCTTGCGCGTCCCGCAGGTCGCTGGCCGCCCGATAGTAGGCGGCAGCCTTGCTCTGGTCGACTTGGGTGCCCAGGCCGTAGTAGTAGAAGTCGCCCATCTTTTGGTGCGCCAGCGGGTTCTTCTGCTCTGCCGCCATGCTGATGCACGGCCAGCGCGCGACGAAGGAAGATGTGTGTGTGGGGGGGGGGGGGATGGCAACGCAGTCGGGTGAGTGGAAGGGCCGAACACATCCCCCCTGCCCCCCGCCCCCTCCAAGAGTGCCCGCCGCCCCAAGAGTGTGCGGTGTGTGGTGGTGCTCCAGGCACCACGTACCCGTAGTAGTCAAAGGCCTTCTGCCGCTTGAAGGCGTCGTCACCTTCACCGAAGCCGTGATCGTACAGCCAAGCGGCGTTACTCTGCGCAATCTCGACCCCCATCTCGGCAGCGAGTTCGTAGCGGTAGAGGGCTGCATCCACATCGCCCTCCTCATAGAGAGCGTAGGCCTCGGCCAGGAGGTCGTTGATCGGCCCTCTTTCCACCACTGCGGCGGCCATCGTAGCCGAGGAGGGTACTGGTCAGACTTTCGGTTTCCTCAGTGGCCACCGGCACGCACGCACGCACGGCACAGAGAGAGCGGGCGGTGTGGGCAGGAGGATGCGTGCGTGCGTGCGTGCGTACGTTTCTTGTACAGACTGACCCCCACGTGGCAGTTACGATTTGCTCCGACACCGAAGCGGTGCATTTGAGCGAGGTTGAAGTGGGCCACCAGGTTGCCGCCCTCCGTGGCGGCCAAGTAGTACTGCAGTGCCTTGCCGTAATCTTGCGTCACGCCCTCGCCATCTGCGCCGCACATCAACGAACGCATTCAACACGAGGGCCAGACGCCAAGGAGGACCGCACAGGGCCAAAGAACGCACGGGACACACGAGCTCGCCGGCAGCACTCGGGCGTACGTACAGAAGTAGCAGTTGGCCAGGTGGAGGATGCCGTCACTGTTGCCCTGCTCGGCAGACTTCCAGAAGTAGTTGACGGCTTCCTTGACGTTCCTCTCCACACCCATGCCGTGGAGGTACATGTACCCGAGCAGGGCTTGCGCATACGGGTGGTCTGCGCCGATAGAGACGGAGACAGACAGAGAGAGAGAGAGAGAGAGCCCACCCGCCCCCGCGTGAGGACCGAACCAAACTCCATGGACACGATACAGCATCGCGGCTGGCACGCACTTTGACTGGCCGCCTGCTGCAGGTACTGGAAGGCCGTTTTGTTGTTTTGCTCCACTCCGTAGCCCTGCTCGCGATACAGCTTCAGCTTCAGCTTTCTTTCTTTCTATCTATCTTTCATGCGCCAACACTTTCTTTTTTGTGGCGCGTGCAGAATGTGGGAGGTGGTACCTTGGCGTAGAGGAAGCCCATGTTGGTGAGGCCACCGAGGTCGCCTTGTTCGGCGGCGAGCGCGAAATACTCTCGCGCCAACTCGTAGTTCTGTTCGACGCCGTAGGCTCCCTGCAGGTGCAAGGTACCCATGGTCACCTGCAGTGTTACCCCCCCCCACAACATTGAGCCAGATCAGCGACGCCAAGAAGCCGATCTGAGATACTGCAGCGAGTCAACAGCGAGCTGCCCAAAATGGAGGAGAACCTGTGCCGAGGGGTCTCCCGTCTCGGCAGAGTATTTCCAGTACTGCACCACGTCCTCTTCCTCCGTGTAGGAAACCGCGTCGTCGTTGTTCACCAATCGGTGCGTCTCAGTCCCGTAGCGCAGACCACTGGCCGCCACTTCCTCGGCAACTGAAAGATATGTGTGGATACACCCCCACACCAGCACCCACGCGTGGCGTGAGCAGTGGGAGTAGATGCCCCTGTGCAACAACCATCGGACAGACACTCGTTGAGGGGGAGGGGGAGGGGGGCGCGGCGTACTTAGTTGCGCCACAGTGCCGTAATAGTCGGCCGCGCGGCCACAATCCTTGCGGGTGCCATGGCCAAAGAGGTGCTTGTAGCCCATAGTGATCTGGGCCTCTACCTCGCCTCCCTGCGCTGCAAAGTCATAGTAGAGGAAGGCCTGGCAGACAAACAGGCGGGCAAGGCTTAGAGGCGGGCAAGGCCTTTTGCTGGCTGCTTGCCTCGGGAGGAGGCGAGATCATCCGCGGGGCGGGTGGGTCGTACGAGAGCCCGATTGACGGGGACCTCTTTACCCGTGTCGTAGAAAAAGGCCAGCGACTTCTGCGCCGTGGGATTGCCCCGGCTCGCCGAGGCATTGTGGTAGTACACCGCCGCTGTTAGGTTACGCGGCACGTGCTCCACCTCGCCGAACTGTGGAGCACGTGCAGCAGCAGCAGGCCCAAGCGAGAAAGAGAGCGAGAGAGAGAGAGAGAGGCCCACGCATGAGTGACAGCTTGCTGCACTTCGACAGAGAGCAGAGCAGAGCAAACAGTTGGGGAGGGGAGAGGGGCATGGGTGATGGGAAGGAGAACCTCATGCAACTCGGCGAGGGTGAACAGGGCGTATTCGTTGCCGGCGCGGGCGGCCTCGTAGAAGAGGGAGAGGGCGCGAGAAAGGGCAGCGGCATCGGTGTCGAGCTTGGCTCGATTGAAGAGCTCGAGGGCCTGCTCGTACACTTGGTGCTTGGGCGAAGTCGGCAGCTCGGACTGACCTGCCGCTGGATCGAACCGATGGACACCTGCGCCGCAAACAGCCACCGGTGGCCGTAAGCTGGACGTTAGCTGGGTTCTTCTGCACAACAGCAGGCAGCGGGCAGCAGAGGGCCATGATACCCTCGGTAGCCCCCTTACTGGCCTTTCCTTTCTCTCGTCGCTCTTTCTCCAGCTGCCGCTGGTATTGAAGAACGACACCAGACAGCGGCGCCGAGCGCTCCTTGGCGAGGTCGGCATCAGACAGCCCACTGCTGGCGCCCTTGGGCTGGTTCACAGCTGTGAGGTCGAGTGGCGAGCTCGCTGCAGCAAGGAGAGGAAATAAGGTGCGTAGCACAGATGAGCGTCATGACGCTGCCTCCCCTCTCTTGGTGGGGCCAGCGTCCCCTGAGGATCTTGGACAAGATGCACTGCTAGCTCAATGTAGGGGGGGGGGGTGCGTACTCTTGCGTACTACTCTGGCCCTGGCTGTTTCGTCGTCAGCCTCCTTCCCGAAGCCCTCTTGCTCTTCATCTTCGTCATAGGCCGATCTGGCACGCCCCGCACCTTTGGCTCTCGACGCTGGGGGAGGTGATGATGATTTGGCAGCTGGCGAGGGGGTGCCTTTCACCTGTCTGGGTGGTTGATGTGCGGCGGCAAGACTCACAGCAAGGGCTGCCACCACAAGTAGCAGCAGCCACACGTGGCAATAGGCTGCCCGTCGCATCTCCATCTCTCTTCTTCTCCCCTCAGCTGGCGCTCAACTTTTTGGCCCTTGCCACGTCACCCAGCCCATTTCCCCCTTTTTCCCCGCCTCTGTTTCCAGCTCGCCTTTTTTTTTGGTTTTCGTTTTACGGTACCCACCAACCGCGAGGAAAGGAATAGAACAAGCTGCGGCGGATGGAGACACCAACGACGAGCAGTCTGCCTGGCCAGGCTGCAGCTGCAAAGGGGAAGGGGGACGGGGGGCAGCTGCTGCAATTCGAGGGCTGGAGTTCCTCGGTGGACGCCACGTTCTGGCACGGCCTCAGTCGTCGAAAGCTCGAGGAGTTCAAGCTCTCCGAGGCCCCCTGTGCCCCTCGCTGCGCACTACCCCACGGGCCACCACCAGCAGCCCACCACCACTACTGCTGCCGCCACCGCCGCTGCTGCCGTGGCAGCACCGGTGCTGCCGCCGCGGCTGCTCCTCGAGGCCTCGGCCTTCGACGCCCCTCCCCATCGCAGGTACTTCCTTCGACGCCGGCCCCCACCCGCCACCCACCGCCAACTGAACTGGCCCGACCGCTTGACATGCGCACGATACACACGACACACACGATACGGCACGACACGCACTTATATATGCGTATGTGGGGCTGGACGTCAACACTGTCGCGACGGTGTGGGTGTGTGCGTACAGGACGCCCAAGTACCACTTCGAGGTGCCCGGGGAATTGCTGAACACCAACACCATCGAGGCCTTCCATGCGCTCGACAAAAAGAAGCAGCTCGACCTGGTGGCCGCCAAGGTTCCCTCCGCCTCTTTTCAGCCCTCCTTCACTGCTGCGGCTGCGGCTGCTGCTGCTGCTGCTGCTGCGTAGTTGGATGCCGGGCGGGGCTGGCTGCGACGCGTTGGAGTGCCGCGTGAATATCCCCCGTCCACCCTTCATCTGACCATCTGATCATCATCATCTGGGCATCATCCTATAATGGCGGCGGCGGCGGCGGCGGCGGAACGCAGGTGTGGACAGACATCGAGAGCGGGGAGGCGCTTCGCGAGCCGTGGCGCCTGTGCCGCTTCCTGATGCTGGCCTTCAGCGACCTCAAGAAGTACCGCTTCCACTACATGCTGGCCTTCCCGGCCCTTCTGCCCGCCCGGCCCTTCACCGCCCTGCCCGCTCTCGCCCTCACCGATGCCCTGGCCCCCGCCGAGGTACCTCTTCTATATCTTTCTACATAACCCTTTATCTCTCTCGAAATCTACGTATATATTTATATGTATATGTATATGTATATAGGGACGTTGTTGGTCGTCGTTTATGATTGTGTAAAGGGAGGGCGTGAGCGCTGGCAGGTATTGTTCTCATGGCTCTCCCGTACCCGTCGTTTTCCCCCCCGCACGCGCACGCCCCAGGTTGAATCGCTCCGCGACGGCTACGAGAAGCTGCGAGGGCTCCACTCTACACCGGGCGAAGAAAGCAACCCGGCGGCGGCGGCAGCTCAGGCTGACGAAGCCGCGGACAGGTGCTCCGGCCACGCGTTCTTCCTGGCCCGACGTACCCGTACTACCCTCGAAAGTTCCACCGACGGGGACCAGCCCTCCACCACCAGCATCACCGCCAGCACCACCACATGCATCGAAGTGGCGCCCCTGCACGCCCACGACCACTTCTGGAAGGACGTGCCCCACGCCGACGTACACCCCACCCCCACCTCGCCTCGCCTACGCACGGTCGTAGCTTGACAGTGGTCATTCACCGCATTTGGTGCGTGCGGTGTTCGCGGTGCGCGCGTGCGGTGTCGTGTGTCGTGTGTCGTGTATGTGTGTGTCGTGCGGGCAGAGGTTGGTGGGGTTCGCCGATCCGAGCTCGCGCCGTACCCACCCGGGGTGGCCGCTCCGCAACTTCCTGCTGCTGCTGGTCCGGTGGGTGTGCCGGGACATGACCTCCGTGCCCGTCATCTGCTACCGCCAGCTCCCCGGGAAGCGCAACATCGACAGCTCCCTCGTCATCCCCGTGCTGCTGCCCGACCCCGCCGGTAAGCAACTGGTGAAGGCGCGCGCGCACGCTCAGTAGCCTGCCTTCATTACCCCCAATTCTCCCAATTCCCGCGTGGCCCAATTGCTGGCACCGTTACACTGACCAGGGCTTGACTGGCCTGTCTTGTGTCGTGTGGTGTCGTTGGTCGTTGGTCGTGTGGTGTCGTGTTGTTGATCGGAAAGGGGAGGCGTTGATTGATGGGCGCAATCTCAAGGTGGCCGGATGGGAGAAGGACAGCGAGGGCAAGCTGCGTCCCCGCGTCGTCTCGCTCGCCGACTCGATGGACCCCCAAAAGTACGTGCGGCCTACGCAGGTCGACACATCATTGATTGCCCTGCCCAGAACCCGCTCCGACCCAGCCACTGCGCCACTGCCGGTACGACGGCACGCAGCCCGAGCTGACATGGTTTTGTGGGGCATTGGGGTGGGACGCAGGCTGGCAGGCACGGCGGTGGAGCTGAACCTGCAGCTGATGCGGTGGCGGCTGCTGCCCTCCCTCGACCTGGCGCGTGTGGCGGCGACTCGGTGCCTGCTCCTCGGTGCCGGCACCCTCGGCTGCAACGTGGCCCGCAACCTCCTCGTTCGTTTCCCCTTCCTCGCCGCCACACATTCTGCGACGGCTGCTGCTCGGTTGGACACAAACCTGTGTCGTGTGTGCCGTGTGATGTGTGCATGATGGGTGGGTGAGGGGGGGAGGTACCGCGAGGCCTGACTGTGCCTGCTGGTCGTGTGTGTGTGTGTCGTATGTGTCGTGTGTGTCGTGTGTCGTGTGTCGTGTCGTGTCGTCCGGTGATTGCTGCAGGGGTGGGGCGTGCGCAACATCACGCTGGTGGACAACGGCCTCGTGTCGTACAGCAACCCAGTGCGCCAGTCCCTCTTCACCTTCGAGGATAGCCTCCACGGCGGAAAGCCCAAGGCGGCCGCCGCCGCCCACCGCCTCCAGCAGATCTTCCCCGGCGTTGTACTGCCTCCCTCCCCTCCCCAGCACCAGCACCAGTCATCGGCCTGCGTGCGTGCGTGAAAGCGGCCGCTGCTGACGCGAGCGTGGCGGTGGCGGTGGTGACGGTGGTGGTGCACGTGTGTGTGTGTGTGCGCGCGCGCGAAGAACGCGGTCGGACACCGTTTCAGCATCCCCATGCCAGGGCACGCAGTGGGCGAGGGGCAAAGGGAGCAGGTGCGCCAGGACTGTGCGCTGCTGCGCGACCTCATCGAGAGCCACGACGCCGTCTTCCTCCTCACCGACTCCCGGGAGAGCCGCTGGCTGCCTTCCACTATCGCCGCTGCCCTTGGCAAGGCACCTACCCCCCCCCGCCTCACTCACCATTCGCTCATCCCGCCAATATGTCACACACACACACACACACGACACACACAAACAAACACGCGCGCGCGCACGCACACAGCTAATATGGGAATATACGGTGATGTTGGCGAGTACGAGTACGAGTACGCGGGGCTGGCCCTAACCCGCCTCTTTCCCTTTCTTCCATTGGGCGCAGCTGGTCATCAACGCCGCTCTCGGCTTTGATTCGTACGTGGTCATGCGGCACGGCCTTTGGGATCGCACCGCCGCCGCCGCGAGCCCTGCCGCCGCGCCGCCGCTGGGCTGCTACTTCTGCAACGACGTGGTGGCCCCCCAAGACGTACACCCTTCCTTCCTCCCCCCCCCGGCCTCTGTTTGCTGGCCGCGTTGGGTGGGGGGGGGTGGCTTGTGTGACATCCCGCGCCGCTTGCAACCAACTCTGCTCGTGGTCGGCGCACACAGTCGCTGTCGGACAGGACCCTGGACCAGCAGTGCACCGTCACGCGTCCGGGCGTGTCCTACCTGGCCGGCTGCCTGGCCGTAGAGCTCCTCGTGTCCCTCCTCCACCACCCCCTCGGGTACCGCCGCCGCCGCCGCCGCCAACCAACCAACCGCCAACGTGTGTCGTCTCTCTCTCTCTCTCTCTGTGTGTGTGTCGTGTGTGTCGTGTGTCGTGTGTGTTTCCTTCTTAGGGCCAAGGCGGGCGCCGACGTGGACAAGGACGTATCAGCGCCCACCGAATCTCCCCTCGGCCTCGTTCCCCACCAGGTACTCCTGCTGCTGCTGCTGCTGCTGGACTGGGCTGACACTGCCAGCAGTGAGCCACTGTCCCACCACCACCATCCACACCGACAAATGGGGAAGCGTGCCTCTGCTCTTGCGGCTCCGTGACCGTGTTCCGTGTCCGCGTCTCTCTTCTCTGCGCAGGTGCGCGGCTACTTGAGCCACTACAAGAACATGCTGGTGGTGGGCCACGCCTATGACAAGTGCACCGCCTGCTCCGACACAGTCGTGGGCGCCTATCAGCAGTATGTACCCCCCCCCCGCCCCCTCCCCGAGACATGGCGCGCGAGGATCGCCCTACAAATCCGACCCATGTCGTCGCTTCACCACCCGCACGCACTGATTGCGTGCGCCCGGCACCTCTTGTGCGATGGCGGTGGGGGGGGGGATCATGCATATGCACAGGGAGGGGTTCGACTTCCTGCTGCAGGTGTTCAACAACCCGACCCACCTGGAGGACATCACGGGCCTCACCCAGCTCAAGCAGGCCACGGTGGACTTCTCCGGGGACTGGGAGGAGTTCGACGACGACAACGAGACGGGGGACGACATCTAGGCAGCCCTTGCCGCGCGCCAGCGCCAGCACCAGCACCAGCAGCAGCTTCGTACACCGCCTGAAGGCTAACGACCTTATTGTGTGCCTTGTCTTTTCTCTCCATTTATTAGCGGGTGTGATTATTTCTTGCCGGCTTTCGCTTTCATTTCGTCCTTCACGAAGGCGAACGAGTCCTCTGCGTCGTTGCTGCTGGCTGCCCCGCTGCCCTGCATGAACGAGAAGCCATGACCGCCGCCGCCCGCCACGTGCGACGCTGGGTCCGTAGTGCTCGGCCCACACCTGCTATGCTGGGCGCATAAGACACGACAGGGGGGAAAAACGGAAACAACCCGGTAGCACTGATACCTGGCGGGAGGAGGAGCGGCGTAGACGATGCCCCCGGCGGGCGCGTAGAGGGCCATCATGCCCGCCGGCATCGCGACGTATGCCATCCCGTGGTGGTTCATGGCCGCCCCCGACCCGAACGCCGGATGCGAAGCGCCGTAGGAGCCTACGTACGCCCACCGCCAGCAGCAGCAGCACGCAGCAGCAGCAACAGCGGCACCACCACCCACCACCCACCAGGTCACCACCAGCACGCAGCAGCACGTCAGCTCTCGGGCACTCACGAGTGTGGGTTGGTGGACCAGAGGGTCCCCAGGCACCACCGCACACTGCGAGGAGGAGGGAGCTGCAGGTGGGTGGGTGGGGGGTGTACCCAGCATGGGCGGGGTGCTCCCGCTCAGAGGCGCTGCGGGCAAAGGGTCGGGGGCGCGTGCGGAGATGATGGCAGGCCCGTCCATGAAGGGAAAGGCCGAATCAAGCGAGGAAGAGGCCGACGGTGGCGGCGGCGGCGGTGGTGGTGGTGGTGGAAGGCGTCGGGTAGGAAAGGAGGGAGAGCGGGTGTGCGGCCGAAGAGGGCGTTCGCCCCGCACCTGACGATGCTGGCGCTGGCGATAGTGCTGGCGGCGAGGCGAAGGAGGTGCCCGCCGACGGAGAGGACGTGGAGGGGAGCAGTGGGTAGCCCCCCAGGGAAAGGCCGTGGAGCTGGTGCTCGACCAGGGACGCCTGGCCACTGCCGCCTCCACCACCGCCGCCGCCCAGTGGAGAGTGGGGCGGGGCGACTTCGGCGTGCGTGGCGGCCAACGGGGCCAGGAAGGCGTCGAACGGGTCGTCGCCCAGGAGAGACGCCCGACCCCCTGCTGCTGCCTGCTGCTGCTGCTGCTCGTGGTGGTGGTGGTAATGGTGGTGGCGGTGGTGGTCGTGGCCCGTGCTGTCATCATCGTTCACGCTCAGGCCAACGAAGAGAGACGATGTCGGTGACGAGGTGGCGGCCGGCGGTCGGACGAGGGGCTCGTCGCGTGCGCCCTCCTCCTGAAGCCAGCCCCATCCTCCTCCACCGCCGCTGTCGCCGCCGGCATCGTCTTCATCGTGGATCCAGTGATCGGCGGAAGGAGCTCTCCCTCCGGCCGCCGTTGGCACGCGGAGGACCTCCACAATCTGTTGCACCCGCCCCCCCACCCCCGCGTGAGCGCCCGGATGACTCAAATCAATCCCTTAGCCCAGATACAGAACTATTCTCCTATATCTAGATCTAGATCTATTTACAGATATAGATAGCTATCTATGAAGATAAAGAGAGAGATGTATACCTCGGCGGCCTTGGTCCGGGCGGCCGGGACGGGGCTGGCGGCGAGGGCACGGAGGGGCTGGTCGTGGGAGGCAAAGAAGGCATTTGCGCCTGCCACGCGCCTCTTGACGAGGCCTGCCACCACGTGCAACGCCCGCTACACACACACACACACACACACACACACACGACACCAAACCAACCGAGCGAGCAACCAACCATCAGCACCAGCATGCCAGGGGGGAAAGAGAGGGCCTCTCCTGGGGGGGTAGAGGGGTAGTGGGGGGGCACCTGCTGTACGGGGGGCGATTGGTGGTCGAGGAGCTTGGCGTGCAGCAGGCGGTAGGCCGCCACGCGCTGCTGGTCCGAGAGGGACTCGCACCGGAGGCAAAACTGGGCCAGCACCGATGCGGGCGGCGCCACCCGCACGCCCCCGGGGAGAGCGATCTCGTTGACGAGCTGCTGCACGTACTCATCTCCGCCCTTCTCCTCCTCGCCGTCATCGCCGTCGCCGCCGCTTCGGGTACCGATGGCGTCCCGTGGCCGGTCGGCATGGGACCCGGCTCTCTCGGGGGACGAAGCTTCGGTGGCGCGCCACTCGCGATCGCTCCGCTCCCAGATGTTCTCACTCACCACTCCGGCGAGACCCTCCCCATCTGCTGCGTGGCCCTCGCTGCTGCTGCCGCTGGCGGCGACGGTGGGAGATACCCCCGGCACATAGCCGCCTGGTCAACGTTGTGCCATCACCGCCGCCGCCGCCGCCGCCGCCACACGTCGGATGAGAGAGAGAGAGATGTCCAACATCAGGAACAGTGGCTGAGGCCGTGCCGTGTGTGCCGTAGGCGCGCGTGTCGGGGGGGGGTGAAGCTGCGCCGTGTAGGCCGCGGGAGGGTACGCGGTACCAGGACTGCCACCCGATGAGGAAGAGGCGGGTCGGGGAAGGGCTGGGGAGTGGTAGGAGCCCTGGAAGGCGCCCCGGGAGAGGTTGGAGGTGGGGGCGGCAGGCCCGCCGCCCACCATCGCATCGCCGGCCCGCATCAGCTTGGCCACGAGGCCCTCCTCTGCCGTACCCTCCC